CTATAAACAGATACTAACACCTAAACCTGAAGAGGACAGAAATAATGAACACTGACATGTGAATCAACCTGTGAGTCTTGCAGATCTGTGCTGACAGTTTGAGATGTGCAGAGTTTTATACTCTCTAAACCCCCATAATATCCAGGAAACACTTTCACTTTTATTTTCTGGGTCATTGATCAGGTAAATCTGCTGACTAAGAGACATAGTTTATCATGCAATGCCCCACAGTATTATCACTGACTTCATTCACCCAACCTGCTAGATTGTGACCATCATAAAAAAGTCTTCTTTAGACTTAAATTGGCACGTGTTCACAGTTTACTGAAAATGTGATGCTGTTGTTGATGAGAAGTAATAAAGATGTTCACCTGTGAAACTGATGTTGTGAAAGACTTCATCTATTTTCTTATTACTACAATGAACTACAGAGGCAAAAATCATAAGTAGAACACAATAGCAGAGTGACTGGAGTTAACACTGTATTTACAAACCATGTGTTAAAATGAGTTGTTAAATAAGTGTTAAAATTATCTGTTACTATCTATTATCAATTTCTTCTGGATCAGTTGGTGTCTTTAGTGCCCAAACGATTATTAATTGTTGTTAAAAGGAAAGGTGATGCAACACAGCGGTAAACATGCTCCTGTCCCAACTGTTTTGGAACATGTTGCTTGCATCATATTGGATTTAGTATATATGTACAGCCCTGTGATGGCAGTGACCCAGGAGGATAAGCGACTTAGATAGTGTGTGTGTGTGTGTGTGTGTGTGTGTGTGTGTGTGTGTGTGTGTGTGTGTGTGTGTGCGTGTGTGTATTTCATCAAGAAAACATTAAGTATTGTGTTTTTGTATCATTTTAATTTAATACAGCTCAAAAAGAGTTTACTAGCACTGCTTTCTGTTTTTAATAGACATTTCACATATTCTCCCAACTTCTTTGGAACTGGGTTTGTTATACAGTGCACATGGATTTAGATAGTAAGTAAATTCATCATATGTCTCCACATGTTAAGACTTTAAATGTTATAAAACCTTATGTAAAAATCATTGATATCTTAGAATGAATGTGTACATTAACTACTGAAGAATCTTTTTAATGATAATCTAACTGTTTAAATGCAGTAAAAAGATTATCACCAGGTTTTTTCATGTACAGTTTACTGGAATGCACATAAATGTTGGCTAATATAAATCAGATAACATTTGACCTGTTTTATAAACCTTTGAACACTGTTAAAAATGGTACCTCAATGAGCACATAATATACCATAAAACATATTTTATGTCTTTCTGTGTTATCTGCAGAGTCTGTTTGTGATTGTTACATAATCAGAATCAGACAGTTTCCTGGTGCAAACAGTGCAACAGATGGGAAATCTGTGGCGCATAAAGAACAGCGTGAACCTCACTCATCAGATTACTCTCAACCTGTGAAAGACATTTCACCTGACATCTAGTGCCAAGTAGTTTGTCTGTCTTTCTCACTGACACTGAAATGAGTTTATTCTAACTAAACTCATTTATGCCCAGTGTTTTCCTGTGCACTTTGATGTGCTACAAGTGACTCTTTTAAACATGATCAACATTTATTGTTTGTGCATTTTTGTGCATTTTAAAGAAAATTGAATTTGAATGTCTGGGAACTTTAGTTGTTTGTGAGCAAATAGTTTGTAAATGCACAAGCACCATTACAACAACAATCAAGATACAGTGGCAAGCAAACATTTCGACACCCCGATCAAATTTGTCACTGTGACTAGTTAAGTGAGTAGAAGATGAACTGATTTTCAAAAGGCACAAAGTTAAAGACATTTAACATTTTAAGCAAGATTAGTGTATTATTTTTTGTTTTGTACCACTGTAAAGTAAAAAAAAGGGCACCATGGAAACATTATTGTTGTTTTTAAGCAGGATTACCTTTTTATTTCCATCCATCTATCCATCCATCCATTTATCATCTAAGCCACTTATCCCTGTGGGTTAGGGGGGTGCTGGAGCCTATTCTAGTGTTCATTGGGAGGAAGGCAGGAAACACCCTGGACAAGCTACCAGTCCATCTCAGGGCAGACACACAGACATACATATTCACACACACATTCACACTAAAGGCCAATTTAGCATCCCCAGTTGGCCTGATGGTCTTTGGACTATGGGAGGAAACCCACGCAGACAAGGGGAGAACATACAAACTCCATGCAGAAAGGACCCTAGTTGCCTGGCTTGGGTATCGAACCCAGGGTCTTCTTCCTGTAACGACACATTTACATAAATGTAAATGTGTCCTAAAGTCTGAAAATCAGTGTGTAACCTTAAGAATAGTGACTCCCGAAACACATATTCTGCAATTAAGTAAACCTTTTAATGTTTTAATAAAAATATTATGATTTTATTTATGTACAACTGTTTAAAGCTGTGTTTACTAGTCATTCTGATTAGTGACAAAACAGTATGTTCAATTATTTGTTTAATAAAATAAACATAATTAACGTAAAACATGTTTTTAACTCTGATTTTGAACCAAATCAGAATGATCCTTATATGAATTAAATAGGAAACTTTATTGCTACTGATGCATTTAAATAAGGTGAAGAATATTAATATTACAAAAGAATAATAACCATTAAACCATGTGAAATTTGTTAGAGCATGTGATGTTTCACTGACAAAACATTTAAAATAAAACAACTGTTGGAGCACTAATTATTAACAGTGACTTTGGAGCTCAGTTTTAGAGCTACATCATATGAAGTTTATCAAATCAAATTTATCATCCGTTTTCACATGGTATCATGGCATAGAATTTTGGTAAATCTTGTTGCTACACAGGTAAAGGCTATGAAAATTGGTGTATTTTTATTTTTTATAGATTTTATATAGTAGATTTTCTTCTCTTCCCAACGAACACAAACCTGTGGCCCGCATCTGGTCCAACTCTGGCTAGCCAGATTTAAAATGACAGGCTGTATCTGTTCTACAGGGTGATTCAAAAAGATTCATCTGATTTCAAAGCACCATATTTTTACAACTGTGAGGTGCCTAGAAACCAATCCCATACCAATTGTTGTAGTTTCTGACTGTCACTAGAAGATGAATCCCTTCAGTCAGCGAGGAGACGGAGACCATCGTCATCGGTTCCACAACACTGGATGATCTCCGAAACTGCACTGAAAGAGCTCTGAATACAGTGACACCCGACATGCTCAATCGAGTATGGCATTGATGTTGTCCGTACAGCTGAAGGAGGTTCATAGTGAGCACTTGTAAAATGACTTACTAAACTTTATGCTCAATTAAACCATTTACAGTTTACTACATTGTTCTGTAATGATTTACAAGTGAAATAAATCATTTTGAAATCTATTTGCATTCTATTCTATCCTAATTTTGATGTGGTTTGCATTTTTGTTTTTTAATGGAGAAGATAGTAAAAAAGAAAAATCCTTCATTAGGTTTTCTCAAACATTTGACTTGTTCTAAATAAGCCTGTAATCAGAATCTTATGATTTTATAAAATGAGCATGTCACTAAATAACCCTCTGTTTTTATCTCAACAGTTTTGATTTTAGTGCTTGTGCTTTGTGCATTCAAGCTTTTTGCTCACTGGCAATTAAAGTTGCCAGATATTTGAATCCAATTTAAATTAATAAAACACAAACATATCATGTTTAAAAGAGTGGCTCATAGAAAATCACAGTGCATAAAAAAAAAAAAAGTTGGGCCCAAATAACTTCAGTTAGAATAAACTAATTTTGCTCTCAGTGAGAAAACTATTTATTGCTAGATGTCAGGTCAAAGAGTAATGTGTTGAGTGAAGTTCATATTATTCTCTATACGTTACAATATCCCATCAGTTGCACTCTTTGCACCAGGAAGCAGTCTGATATTGATTACGCAGAACTTACAACCAGGCTCTGCAGATAACTCTAGGCAAAAAACTGTTTTATTGTTCTATTACAATAAGCTGTTATGTTACATGCTTATTGAGGTATAATTATTAACAGTAGTCAATGCTTAATTAAACAGGTCAAGTGCTGTATGTTAACTATCAGCCAAAGTTATGTGGATTCCAGTAAGCTATAGAAAAACAGCTTAGTACTTAATTCACACATTCATTCAAAGATGTAAATGATAGAAAGGGTTAGACAGTTATTTTTATGTAATGCTTTATAACATTTAAACATACATCTTCATATGTAGAGATGTATGTCTATCTTCCTGCATATATTATGTTGTATTATTTAATTAGTAATTTGGCATATTAATGCATAAACATTAACCTTTCCATGTACTGTGCAAAGTGTTTTTACCTCATTTTAAAAGATGGTGAACAGAATGTAATAATGACTTTGTATCTGCTGTGAGAAACTTGACTATACTTGAGTAAAAAAAGATAATACACTTTTACGCCTTTTATCATTTAACGAGAGCAATAAAAGGTAATGTTTTAATGTAAAAGCACTAAAGCAACAGCAGTGTTTATCTTTCCTCTACACACTAAAGTTGTCTGCTACTGAATGGTCTTCATACTGTACTGTAGAGGTAACACATATAACCTGTTTGGCTTTCCAGGTCCAAACACAGATTATTTTAACATTTGGGGCAAAGACTAGATTAGAGAATGAAACTTGAACTGACAGAACTCTGTGTCGGTGTCTGTGCTCTAATATTCTTTGAGAATAGACATAAATACAGTGTTGAATCCAGTCACTCTGCTATTGAGTTCTACTTATAACTTATGTGCATTTTCATAAGAAAACAGATGAAGTCTTTCACAACATCAGTTTCACAGGTGAACATCTTTATTACTTCTCATCAATGATTATGTCAGGTTTTACATCATCACATTTTCAGAACACTGAGAACATAAGTGCCAATTTAGGTCTAAGGAAGACTTTTTATGACGGTCAAAATCTAGCAGGTTGGGTGAATGAAGTGATAATACTGTGGGGCATGATGTGATAAACTATGTCTCTTAGTCAGCAGATTTACCTGATCAATGACCCAAAAAATGAAAGTGAAAGTGTTTCCTGGATATTATGGGGGTTTAGAGAGTATAAAACGCTGCACATCTCAAACTGTCAGCACAGATCTGCAAGACTCACAGGTTGATTCACAGGTCAGTGTTCATTATTTCTTTTCTATTCAGTTTTAATTTGTAGTATCTGCTTTTAGTTTTTCCAACTATATATATGATCTTATCTTTTGTGACACTTTTTTGTCTTTAACTCTTAAAATCTCACTATTATATACTAAGGCTTAATATTCCGCAACTACAAGGACTTCAGTGCAAACTGGCTGATGTATAATTAGGTTATAGAAATGTGTAATAAGACTTTAAGGCCCTCAATGGGCCCTGACCATTTAAGGGGTTAAAGTCTTTAACCTGATTTACCCAAAACTCTTTTTTCAGTTCTCTTTCTGATATTAGGTTGCAGAGTCTTATACAATGTAATATATTTGACATCATATTTACTTACTAATTCAGTGCAAATAAAAAGAGTCTGGAGTCTCTGTAGCAGATTTAGGAAAGGTTTTAGTGACTGTTGCTCTGTTTGTTATGTTGTCAATTGGCATGATCGAACCAACTAACTATGTGTAATAATCTCAACTATTTTTTTTTCTTTCTTTCTTTTCTCTCTCAGACAAGACTGCCTTCATCATCATCACCACCATCACCATGAACACTTTGGTTCTGCTGTGTCTTTTTTGTGTCAGCTTTAGTTACGGAGCTCCGGTTGGTGAGTATCACTTCACATTTATACCAACTCATAGGATGTTTTTAAAATATAACAGCATGTCCCTCAAAGCCAAGCACGGAGAGCCAAATTACTTCATAGTTCAGTGTCTTCACTGATCTAAAACACCTGATTCAAAGCACCAGTTAGTGATCAGCTGCAAGAAATTACAACATATATTGTTGTGGTCTCATACTCATCCATAGTGTTGTGACCCCAGTTGTCTGTAACTAAGGACAAGTGCTATAACTGAAGAAACTCATAGCAGCATTGTTTACGCACTGATTTACTCTCTCCCTTGATGTAGATGAAGCTGTTGAACCCGTTAATGACCAGCATCTGGACCCTTCTCCAGGTTTGTTTCTGGACTTCATTTGTTGGTGTTTCAAGCAACAGTGACACAAGCTTTTAAATCTAAGATGTAAAATAGTATTATATTGTGTTCATTTCACTTAATACATCACTTAAAATAAAACATCATTCACTTATAAAGTGAATGTTTAAACACTTTAGAAGTTGGTGCACCTTTAGCATGTATCAAAAATTATGTTTAATTAAGCAATTAAATGCAATGTATTCGGCCTGTAAATGTGCGGCACAAACACAAAGTAGATCTATGTACCATGTGCATAATAAGTAGAATAGGTAGAATAATAGATAAATAGAATCAGAATTTGTAAATATTATTGAAATATTTGACTCTGAGCTGTAAACATTACTTTGATTTTAAGTGAACAACACATGCTTATAATTGTACTTTTCTCCTAGCTGAGTTTGAGCCTGTAGTTGAGGACACAGCTGAGGTTGCAGATATAGGTAATGGAAAATGACTCTGTCCTTCAAAGTTCTCTGATAACCTGTGGTTTCCTAACAATGGGTAATGCTTAACAATGATTATACTGTCTTTCACAGCTACTTTTGTCCAGTGTCCTGCTGGTTGGTTCAGGCACGGCTCCCGCTGTTTTCTGCTGGTCAGGTCTCGGATGTCCTGGCTCAACGCAGAGGTAAAGTGTGTTGTAGTCTCAGTTCCAGCCTCCATGAGTGCAGTGATAGATCTGCATCTGGTTCAGTTTCACCACAGAGTTGACTGGAGGGAAAAGTAAAGGATAGTAAAAAGATCCTGATTAGCTGAGTTAACACCCCCCAACTCTCTCTCTCTCTCTCTCTCTCTCTCTCTCTCTCTCTCTCTCTCTCTCTCTCCAGAACCACTGTGTCAGTCAGCAGGGTAGTCTAGCCTCTGTCCAAAGTCCAGCTGAGTATCAGTTCCTGCAGAATCTGGCTGACCTCGGAGGCCAGACATCTGCATGGATTGGTGCCTTCAACTTCCAGGTGATGATTTATGAAGTTAGTGTTAAACTGCACATGCAGCTGTAATACTGGCTTTAGTGTAACACAGTCTTTTCTCTCCAGAACACATGGATGTGGATTGACAGGGCAGGATTCTACTACAGTAACTGGCAGTCACTGAGCAGCGTGTCCAGCAACCCCTGCGCTTACCTGCAGACACGCGGTAAGAACCTTCACCACATCAGCTGTAAAAGCAGCACTTTGATTTACCTGCTTCAGATGCATTATTGAAACATGTGAGGTCTTATGATGTTAATAAAAGTGTTAAAATCCATTAATAAAAGACTCAAAATAACTTTTTATAATGATTTCACAATAAAGTTATTATATATTAATAATGGTACTCTTGCCTTTATATAAGGTGAAAACAGTTATAAACAATATCATTTGGAATTTGTTATCCCAAATGATGTTGTTACTGCAATCAAGAAAATTGTCACTTTTTATTTTCACCATTTATGCATTTTAGTACAGTTGGTCAATAAATGTTGCCACACCATTAAAGGTTATGATAATGAGTGCTATACATGACGACTGGGTTCTATTCTTGTTTGCTACTAACATGTTTTGGACCTGTTGATTCATATTCATTAATTGGATCTCTTGATCATATTTATGTCTGTTGTATTTAATAACTGCTGTAGCAGGAATTCATACAGTACGAAACAGGGATCAGACTTTTAATACAAATCTTTTTTTCTCTTTTTATAGCTGGTTGGGCAAACACGAACTGTGCAACCACTCTGGCATTTTTCTGTGTCAGGATCCCACAGTGCTAAACAACTAACAATAATAATGAAACTGTTAAATGATTTTTTTTCAGTTACTCAAAACGAACTTAACAATGACTTCTTCCCATATGTTACTCTGACAGAAGACTTAAATGTTGTTTTTAGACGTACAACAACTGATGTATTTTCTCCTCATTTAACACAGAATAGTGTTACACAATTCTGAACTGCATTGATAATTGTGTTTTTGTTTTACTGTCAATATTTGGTACATTGTACTTTGATCATATTTTGTTTTTAATAAATTTCTTCAGTATACACTGGAAAACCAAAAGCATTCATGTGTTTTGCCTTTCAGTAATGCTGTATGAGAAAAACAGAGTTGATGTATAGATCAGGCTCCATTCACCTTTTAGTTTAATGCTTCATTAAGCAGGCATTTCTTCTGTGTTAAAATATTTAGGAGAGTAAATATTAATGTATACAAAAATGCAATCAATATGAGAATAAAGATAAAAAAGCACAAAAAGCAGGACATGAAAAATGAAGGTACCTTTTATTGCGTACATTTGAGGACATTAGTACCTGCAAGGCACGCATCAGACTTCATTACGGGGACATAAGCATTGATCAAAAGGGTTTACAAAACAAAAAAGAAAAAAAAATATTAATTTGCTTTCTTTCTTTCTTTTTTTTACAAGGGCATTTCCTTTCACAGAAAGGACTATAACTAACTGCAGACAAATGAAAAAGGGCAAGAACAGACGTGGGTGTTATCTGCAGGCAGAACCCCATTTCAGTCCAGTTATATTGTGCTTGTGCATTAGCTCTTGAGTGTCACAAGCAAAAGTGATTTAAATCTCTGTGAGTGCAGAATGTTTTTTTTTCATCCAGCAGAAGAGAACATCACATATCTGAATACAATGTTAGGGATTTGATTTATCTGTCTTACTTATGAACTGCAGTTTTAATAACTGATTAAAATGTAGAAAACATATATTATTAAAACGTTTACAATATTGGTTGCTGTGTTAAGTGTTAAGTCAAAGAGAAAAAGAGCGACAAATGTACTATCACCCTGTGGTAATATAAAGCATGAACATGGGAAATAACTACACCACAAGTGTGGTTGTACTGTTATCCAAAAGAATGTACAAGAACCTGAAATGGCTACCCACATGCATGAGGGCATTTAAAAGTGCTGCTGAAGACCCCAAAAAAAGAAAACATAACATAAAGGAAACTTTTAAACGGGTCTTTGCTCTTTTTTAAATGTGATGAAGGGAGCATGTGTGTGTATATAAAAACCAACACACTCCAGCTTCACTCTGACATTATTAGTGAGAGGATGACGTATTGCTCACAGGTTCAGCTGGAAAGTCTTCATTAGTTATTGATAGATTATTGAGAGGTTATTGGCTAATTTCATAGTGAGAATAAGCATATGCACACATACTCACACTCACACACACAGAAGGGAGAAATGGTTTCTAATACTGACTTCCATTCAGGAATAATACTGACATATGGCAGACCTAACAAAAATACATGGCTCTCACTCTTACAGCAACAATTCATGCATTATACCAGTTAAAATTCTCAATAAAACATTTTTAAGTTACATGTTCCAGTTTATAAAATAACTAACAAAGAAATGTGATCAACAATTAGTGAAATGACAAAGAAAAAGCTTATGGTCTTAATGATGAAAACACAGGAAAGGTTTGCTTTAGAGGCTTCTGAACGGGGGGCTGCAACGTCTTGAGGAACCCCAGCTTCCCTTTTAGTTTATGATCAAAGAATTCCTCCCCAATGTGTAATACGTGCCTACTCAGACAGCTCTCTGGCTGGAACTCTGGCACTAGCCATTTTTCAATCTCTGAACTTTTACACTCCAAGTCCACTTTGTCCCATTCACTGAGAGTTAGTCAAGTGCACTTTGAGTACAAAAGTATGATAATAAAAAAACAGCCTCATGCATTTCACACAGCCAGTCCATCATTCTACCTGTAAAGACATCCACATTCGGCTCTCTCATTAATTGCTTATATATATATATATATATATATATATATATATATATATATGTGTGTGTGTGTCTCACCACAGAGCAGACAGGTGGCTTAACTAACAACACTGAAAAAATGGTGCTTTGATTCAAATTTGTCAGTTAGCTGCATGTGAATAACACAACCACACAAAGAAGCACACTTGACTTGTGATATGTGCCAACTGACATGTTTGAATCATGTAAACTCAAAGCACCAGTTGTCAGTGTGTGGAAGACCTAAAAAAATCTGAATTTAGATATTTTTGCATCTTTTTTCTTGCACTGGTCTTTCCATTTATCATAGTTCAGCTTAGAGAACATCAGAGAAGGAACTTCCACCACGATCCTCATTCAAAACTGTCTGTAGCAGTTTTGAGTGATCTCTGCCTGTCTGCTTGGTGTTGGGGTAAATGTATTTGGTGCAAGACTGAGGAGCTGAGAGAACAGTTTATGGGTCTCAGAATTTGCATAGTGTAAGAAAGGCACAGGTGGTTCAGACAGCGTGGCCAGCACCACATCATAATACACGTTAGTACACACACGCACACACTTTTCCTGTCCTCAAAGATTTTTACAATATGGCTGTATACTCCTTTTCTTATTGAACACTGAGTGCTGCCTGTCTTTGGTTCATAGCTCATATGGTATGATCGAGTCTGTCAGTAACACTTCCACTGAAACACTGTGGCACACACACATAGACACTAAAATAACCTGACACCTGAGTCTTAAAGACTCTTATATTGTCCTTCTAATCTCATAGTGGCAGATTCCTCAACTCACTCTGCACTTATAGTACAGAGATGTTAGTGTCAGTGTGGGTGTGCCTTAAGGTCCAATAGCACTGATTAATGTAATAAACATGAAATGGAATATCCCATTCTGATTAGCATGCAAAGACAGACAGACCAGCATACACACACACACACACACTCTCCTAGATAAGAGTTCACTCTTGCCTAAAGCAGCTGACTGGTGAGACAGACTGGCGCAGTTTCCCTTTCACTTCCAAAGGCTGAAATCAGCAGCTCCATCACATTATTCTCCTCACACTCTCTCACACACACTAAAAGTCCTCTGTCCTTTTGTTTTGTTTTTATCACCCTCACACTACAAACTCAGGCACCTCCTCTGTAGTCAGGTCCAGGGAGAAGTACTTGTTGGTTCTTTTGATGGGGAAAGGGTGCTGGTTGTCACGGATACCAGCACACTGTTCCGCAAGTCCCTGGTAGACACAGCCGACACCATCGCCAAGGTCTTCAGCACAGCCAAACGTGTAACTATGGGCAGTATCCTGACAGAGCTCCGCCCACTCCTGGCAATTCCTCTGGTACAGACGAACATCATCCAGAGACTGGCTGTGCCGATCTGTTGAGCTCTGAGACTTCCTGCCTGACACCGTCTACAAAACATACATTCATCCATTCAGAGTCCAGTAAAAACAGAATCTAGTAAGTGATATGAGTCTCAAGTGATTTATAACTGCTTAAACATCCACTTGAACACAATGACAACTAACAACAGAAAGTACAGCTGTGAAATGGATCCCTATCTACATTCTAGGGAATTGTTATGTTTCTAAGTAATAAAATTTTACATATGTAATGAACGCATTACCTATTTCATTAATCTTTATAGTTATATAGTTCACTAAATATTCTGCAGTTATATTGCATTTGTAGCTAATGTGCATGTATGGTAGCAAAATGATGGTTTCACCCAAGTTCCATTTTTTAATTTGTTAACAATATTTTCCCTATGGCAAAATAACTGGTGATTCAAAATGTTTTGAATTCAACCAGCAGATGGCGTAGTCGACACATTTCCTACCCACTGCGAAAACATTGAACGGTAACTGTTGTAGATTATAGTCATGGAACAATAAAGAAGTGAGTGTGAGAGTGAGTGTTACCTGAGGAAGGGATTCAATGCTTTGGCCTCTCATCTTCACCACAGTCTCAGAAGAACTAGATGTTGATGAGCTCACTTCCTTCACAACTAAACCTGTGTGCACACCATCATCATTAATTCATATGTTCAGTTTACAAAAGATCATTACACACTGCTGTCATCAAGATTATCAATCTTAAATGATCAGAACATTACACTGTGTTTTGGAAAGTGAAGCAATCTGTGTGTGTGTGTGTGTGTGTGTGTTCATACCCGAGTATCCATTGTTTTGTGCAGATGATAGCATGTCCTCAGTGATATGAATGCAGAGGTCTTGACTGAGGTCCAGCGCTAACTCATGCAGCTCCTCGTAGTCTTTAGGGTCATCAACCAACATCTCAATCTCTGCAGAAACACAAAATATAACTCTGAACACATGTATCAATAACTGCACAAGATTTAACTCATGCAGACTACACAGTTGTGGTCTTTCCTATCTGATTACATCGGTGGTATCTAAACTCAGTTCAGGGTTTTTGTAACGACTGGTAGTTAACTGAACAGTTATTCTAACTATTTGACCTGACCCCTAGGCAGCAGTCTGAAAATAAAGATAACAAAATGGGATCTTTGGAGAGATGCCGTAGAAGAACGATTTTTGGTTCACCAAGGAATGTTTCAGTGGATGATTCTTTAAAGAACCATTTTTGTAAATGGTTGTGTGAGTGTGATGTGTAAGTGTGAAGATCCTTTAGTTTAAACAACTTTCTCATAATGTAAAGATTATTTTAGAAAGATAAAATAAAGGTTTTTCCTAAAACCGTGCTAATGTCTACCCTACACTCTTTTAAAAAGGTGCCATAAAGGGTTCTTTATACGATGCATGATGAAAAACCTTCTTAAGGGTTTATCGAACCTTCACATAATGTCATGTAATGTAAAGTCTCTATATCAGTTTAAAGGTTCTTACTAGAACCTTTACATTATTTGGATATTTTATATTCTTTTATAATATATTTATATTCTATTTATAATATTTTATATTATTTTTATTTCTTTCAATATTAAATTTTTATTTTTAAGACTAAAAGACAAGTCGCAGTCTGTATAAACAGACTCAGATCTTGAGGGCTGTGATATGAACAGTAATATAACGTATCTCTCACAACATGCACCCATTACTAGAGGGTTCCCACTCTCAAATTTGCACACTTCAATTCCAGAAACTCCATTTTATAATTTTTTTTAAATAAGCTAATGAACAAACTTTAAGGGTGGGTGTAAGATGCATACCATCATCATCCAGGCCTCGCTCTTTGCCACTGCTCTCAATGCCGGATGTGTGTGTGCTGGCATGGCTAGTGTTGGAGGAAGAGTGTGTGCGTAACGGCCGGTGGGATGTGTGTGCTGGGGTACGGAAGCTGTCTGTGTCAATGCCTGATGTGTGGGAGCTGCTGTGGCTGGTTGTGGAGTGTCGTGAGAAGCGTTTCTGGCGCGAGACGCTCCCCACACTGCTGCCGCTCGCACGAGAACGCTGCTCAAGCTGCTCCATGTCCAGCTCCAGAGCATCACTGATATACGACTCTCGATACTGCTTCTTCTCTGCAAACACACAGACATACTCTAATGTTTAAAGGTTTGAAATCACTTGTAATGTCAATAAATGTTATTTAATAATAACTTAATGGAAATCTTAGAAACTACATACTGGAAGGAATTTGGAATTTTTGTTTTTTGGAAAAACAAGTTAATTAATAGATACCACACTGTAATTTTGCATTTATAGTAAGTTCTTGTTAAGTTATCTGTCTTTGATCACCACTTTAGAACGCCATGGCATTTTGCAATGCTTTCTGCAAAACATGTTAACATGGTGAACATGTGGACATGTTGTGTTACCTTCATTCTCCTCTAAACGCCGGACCTGCTTAAGTACAGGCTGAAGGTTCATGTACAGGCGGTGGCTGTTGCTAAGCAACTGTAGGAGGTGGCGGGAACGCATAGGACAGCCCGTGTAGTAGATGAGCTTTCTGGCAGAGGGCAAGCCATCGGGCAGGATCTCAAACCTCTTCCCCTGAGAGAGCGAGAGAGAGGGAGAAAGAGAGAGAGAGAGCATGAACAGAGGTTTATATAATTAGTATTTATTATTATAAAGTTATAAAGTATTTATAAAGTATTATTATAAAGAATTATAAAGTAGTATAATAACATAGCATTGTGTGCAGTGGTTACTCTGTTAAAATGATTATGAAATTTCAATATTCTTTTTAATTGTGTATGAAGGCAAAATCATTCCAAGTCTAGCTGTATGTAGTACTGACCACAAATACGAGTTTGCCCACATTGGTCCAGGGGAAGTCATACAGGAGTTGCCTCACAGCGCCCACATTCTAAACCACAACAACAAAAATATAATCTGTCTGTCAACTCGCTGATATTTTCTCAAGTTTCTAAAGTAGAAACACTGGATTTTACCTAGTGCAGAAACACATTTAAATATGGAAAAAAATGCATACTGACTACAACACAGACTCACCTGAAAGATCTGAATCCCACGCAGGGTAAGTCCCAAAGTGAGAGACGCCTCCACTTCTTTCTTATCCTAAAGGGGAAATATTCAGCAAGTTATTCTCAAAACTCTCTCTCACTCACAAACATAAATACACACACAGACTTCCCCTCTGACCTTGTAGAGGCGGTAGTAGTGGACAGTGACGTCATCCAGGAGTGCTGCTTCTTTGATGTACTTCAGCTGAGCTTCTGAAGCAGTCAGAGCAAACTGTTCCTTATGCATATTGGGAATGTGACGCAGAATATATTCTCGCCCTCTCTTAGTGATCACCTGGAAAGATAGTGGGAGAAAGAGAGGAAGAGCGAAAGAGAGAGAGAGAGGGGTCAAATGCAAAAGACAGTCTCAGTTTGCAACATTTCAGTCTACAAGGACAACAAAGTTGGAGTGATGAGCTGCTTTATAAGTGCTCTCCCTTAGCACACAGCTCTTTTGCTGTTATCAACCACCTGCATTTAGAAGATACAAAATAAGAGGAAACCCGAGGTAACCTGAGAAACCAGAGTGAAATGTTAAAGAAAAGAAAATGTTTTGAAGATGCTACAAAATAATAAAGGATAAAAATGTACACTATTTTTTGGGAATAGGACCACAGTGAAATTTAGAGCAGAGCAATTAAAACTGCACTGAATGATGTGCAGCAACGGACCTCCACTGCATTCCACTCACATCTTTTAAGTGCCTGAGGGAAACTGAAGCAGTGAGAATGAGCTGAAAAGTAACTAGTTTAAAGGAGTGGTCGAGGACAGACTACGAATCCATAGTGTGTCACACTCATTTAATGCACATTAAACAATATATGTGTTCATTTATAAGAGCACAGTGTGATACAGAAAGATACAGTATTGTACTATAGGACATGTGAGGATTCAGTGTTGTCTATTAGGGTACATTGGGGCTAGATCATGTGTTTTCATATCTTTTTTTTTTCAAGTGGTCCATATTTTATAAATGATTTTGTAACCCAAGCCCTACTGAATACTCCATTTTTATATGGAGTGTTATATCGTCTACATCAGGGCTCATCAGTTTCTCTTCTCTATTGGCCTTCAAATATTGAACACAATTTATCTGGACATTAATAATTTTATTCCAACACATACATATATGACGATATATTGTACATTTCGAACACAATTTGTTGCAAGGAGAAAATGCAACGTTTTATTCACCCTCTGTATAATTTTTCCGAACTTTGTGGGTGACATGGACCAATCACTGTTGTCTCTGGTACTTGCATGGCAATGACCAAGATGACTGGCTGTGTTCCATGCCAGCAACCAGCATCTTTTGACAAACGTCAAAGGGGTTAGTTTGTCCCATTGCTGCATCTCAAAAAGTAGCTCAAACTGGGCGACAGACATCCAAGCTATGTTCAAAAATGCTATTTCAGCTCCTGAATGAAGGGGTGAAATTGTCCGTTCTCCTTTGGCTTTTCCAAAATGAAAGGTAGCCTGCCCAGTGTTTCTGTTTGCCTGTTTTGTGAGGAGCGAAGGATATCTCTCTCGCTTGAAGACACTCTGCCTGTTGTTCTTTTCTTTCCACAGTGCGAATGGCATGGCTAAACTTTTTTAAAAATCGCATTGTGTCCAGTGTGTATAATTTTGAGGCAGAAAGTAAAAAAAATAATGTCTGAATAGTTAACTTTATAGTCATGTTGCTTATTGTCTTCGCATTGGGTGTGTTATAGTCTGAAAACTGGAGCCAGCATATCCACTAATCCTGGTAATTAAGTAATGAGTTTAATCAAATGTGCTTGAGCAGCCAAATCATCAAACTGCGCTGGACTCTGGCCCTACAATATCAGAACTGAATACTCCTGGACACAGCTGGGAACCATAGGCCTATATTGTAGTGTTATATATTTGAGTGTCTGTGTATAAGATATAAGATTACAAATGCACTGAAGAGACAGAGCACACCAGTAAACTGCCCATGGAAAGAAGATCTATGAAGTTACCACCAGATGTCTAAAACGTATCACAGGACAAGTGAAGCATCTTGTAACAGAAGATTAAAAGGTATAAGGAATATAGTACAGTGCTCACCCAGGAAGGGAAGTAGGCCTCCGGTTGAAAGTAGGACCCAAAGTGCTTGTTCCGTTTGAAATTTCCCAGGTCGACCTGCAGAGCAAACGCAGCTAGCAGGAAATAAGCCTCCTCTCGCTGCACACACTGGGAATGCAACACCTGCTTCCGCAAATGCCAATAGTAGTAATACCTCGCTGTACGATCACTGTGTAAGAGAGAGAAAGAAGCTGTAAAGGACATATGGTTTGGCTAATCAATACTTCATTATGATAAAGTATACTAATGATGGAATTTAAAAAATCCATATAATGGCTAAGAGTGTCCAGGACACATCAGGAACCAAAATTTGTTTTTCAAACTAGCTCACACGATTTCAACTGCTACTACAAAAAAGAAATTCTAGTTACTGTATTTATGTTTGCATTTATTCTAATGAAAAATAGTAGTTTTACAAACAAAAACACAATTAATGCCAAAATAAAAGGTTTTACTTAGGATTTAGTAAACAATCATATTACTGCCATTATTTTAAAATATTTTTATATCCAAACTGGAAGTGACAAAATCAGAGAATATAAAAGACTATCAAAAACATTGTTACCACTGTGTGTATTTATGTGCATCTGTGTTACATGTTCTCTTACCTGATAAGCCTGCCATTCTCCACATAGTACTGAGCTCTGAAGTGTACGATCATCGGAGGTCCAAACTGATCAATTCCCTTTAATAGATTGCAAAAATTAAATTAATCAGGATTCAGACTTATAGGTCATCATTGTTTATATATTGTTACATATCTTTATTTTAATGACATATGGCATTAAACCAGATTTTAATATGTTATTTGTCATGTTATGCTGTATTCTGTAGCGGTCTCAGCGGTTTCAGAGAATTCACCATTTTATTACAATTTTATACTGTTTTCATATTTTTATTCAGCAATGTTCTCTTACTACAATACCCAGCATACATTATGCAAATACATAATAACTCATTGGGAATCCCTGTGGGATCAACTAATCCTGAATGCTAGCCAGTGATCTTTATGCTAATAACTACAGCCAAGCTAACAGTAGTGTAACTCTTATTTCTGTTGTTGAACAAAAAGGTCAAGAAAATATCTTTATTTACCACAAAATGGATGCCAGAGAAAAAGGAGCCAAACTGAGGTAAAGTATCTATACAGCCTGGTAGCTAACTTTAGCTTTTAGCTAATTTTATTTCACATTAGAGGTGGGCAATATATAAATAATAAATTTATTATGTAAATATTTTTATTGCAATACATTTTTATTATCATGATTCACAATATGCTTTTCTCAGCATATCGTAGGTATCATCAGTACTAAAAGAGCACAGCATGTTTTATTAAAAAGAGAACATAATTAGTCCTGCTTAATTGACACAGAACAGTGTGTCAAATGTTAAATACAAAACAATGGTTTTAAATGTGGCGTTACTAGTGAATTGTGTCTGTGACTCAAAATATCTTAATATGTATCATGAAAATCCATATCCAAAGTGCCATATCACCCATCCCTACCTTACATCTGACAAGTCACTCCTGTCATTTGAGTAATCCATTCTCTCTGTTTTGATGATGTTTTAGACACAGTTACTACCGTTATACAGCTGCAATGAAATATTTGGCTTTTCAGCAGTTAGCTATCTGGCTAACACTCAATTTTATATATGACATACAAATCTGCATGCACTGGACTGTGTGTGTTACCCTGCTCGCCTCTCGTTTCCACTCCTTTGGACAGTATTTTGACAGCTTCTGTCCCAGCTCCATATAGATATGCTCATTGTCTGAGACAAGAACACAAGATAGCCTAAGTTAAAATCCACACATACACATAAAAACAACAACACAGAACACAAGACTTGTACAGAAACTTGCATGCACATAGCATGTCTTACTCTGAACAACAGTGAGGCCAAACAGGTGACAGTCCTTCAGACGGAGCAGATCACACACCTGCACCAACAGTTCCTGACACAAAGTCTTCACCTGAGAGAGAGGAACAGCATCCAGTAATCAATTATGGAAAACATCTTACCCTGTTATCAACATCAGTTTATAATAATCATTAGCATCTGCTAATAATAGTGTTGACCCATATGCAAACTACACAGCTTGCAGCAGGGGCGTCCAGACACTGACCATGCTTTCCACAAACTAATGATACCTGTGAATAAGCTACACTGGTGGTTTGGACGTAGACATGATCTCCTAATTCCACCCTGTTATAATTCTTAAAACAATATACTTGGTGTTCTGAGAAAGGCAAAAGCAGACCAATAATTTTGAATATATTTAGTAGCTGGATGTTTTCATTTGGAATTGGTTGTGAAGTTTTATTCAACGATTCATAGACAGTTATCCCCTTCATTAGAATTCACTAGTAGGGGTGAGCAGCAAAATAAAATAATGGATGGTTCATGTGCAAGAACAATTAACAACTGTAACCTATACTATAACCAGTATACTGTGACTTTCACCAACTGCAACCAACCCATGTTAGTGAAAAGCATTTGAGCCATTCATGAAGTGTTCATAACGTGAATAGGGTGTTTTACTGAGATCCTGGATGGCTTCCATGAGAAATACAGTCCTTACTTGACATAGAAAATTGGTTATGGACATAAAAATTTAAAAGTCCATAATGTTAGCCCATCTCTCAAAACTTAATAACTTCAGTATAATTTCATGAAATAAGTGAAAATGAGACCAATCTGAGGTTCTCAATCAAGCAACGATTAAATTAAATGGTTTCTCTACATTAACAACCTTACATCTTTTAGAAAATTATCTGCAAGTTGTCTATTGGCTACTACTGTAGAATGAAGGATAAAAGATTTTTTAGTCCTTCTCTTATGCTTTGTAGTAATACTGACCTTTACAATCATGTTAAACATTTACACTAACTGAAATATATTACACAATTCCGCTGGTCCATGCTCTGCCCTCCAGCAGGCAATGCTGGAAAATGTTCTAAGGGAAATCCCGAATGTGCCGGCAGAAACATGTCAGGATGTGTTTAGTCATCACGTGTGTAAGAGTGTGTGCTTTGGAATTGTGGCGGGTAAACTCACAGTGACAATGACGTTAAGTGTGTCATCATTAGGGAGAAACACACACACACAACGGCGGTCCTGCATGGTCTTGTTGTTGTGGAACGTCAATTTGTTCATTTTTGACCAACTTCTGCCTGGAAACTCCGCCCCTCTTCGGAGCTCCGCCCCAAGAGACGCCCACTCACTCTCTCTCTCTCACTCCTGTATTGGTACCAGTAAACTCATATACACAAACAGCTCTACTAGTACCAGCACACACACGTGCACACACACACACACTCACGCCAGTGTCACAACTGGTCAACTCCCTGTAGAGAGAAAAAGAGAGAGAGAGAGAGAGAGAGAAAACAGTTAAATAAACCAAGAGAGATTTCCATTTTCAAATGCATTCTAACAGACTAGTGGCGCAAACATTTCTACACACACACACACACACACCCGTCCCGCTGCTCTGATCTCATCATCAAAGAATGTTTCGCTTGCTGGTGACAATCTGAACATCTGCCTGCACAGACACAAATCTCACTGACTTGTTCCCCATCCACACACACCCACATACACATAACAGTCGGTTATTTGAGCTTATATAAAGAAAAAGTTCCTAATGTCATTACCTCTTACACAGGTTAGTCTCTTTCTTTCTACCTTCATATTTATTCAAAGAAAGATGATAGGATATCATCACTATCCAAAAAAACAAAAACAAAACATATCTCTGTTTTTGTCAATCTTTATTGTTCAACATCATTTGAACACAGTAGCAGTCATTTCATGATGAATAGACCAATAGAAATGCTCCAAAATTACTTGGACAAACACATATTGACTTACATAAGAATTAACTGGAGTGACTAGTCTGTTTCCATATTATGTTCCCATGTCCTCTAAGTTCTGTTGGCATTCAGTTGATAATACTGAAGATGTGTGTCCAGGCTGTGTATTTTAGGAACATTTCCATTTAGCATGAAAATCTGACCCATTATTAAGGATAACAGGCATTTTCAAAAGATATACACGGTTTTGGGCTGACACATTATGTGATACAATATATATATCATACAATATATATATATATATATATATATATATACATATATATAGATAGATAGATAGATAATCGCTGTCAGCCCAAAAAAAAAAATATATATATATATAATTAAAATGTGTTTTCACTGTCTTTTTTTTCTTGGACCCAGTACTCAGTGGGTTAAGTGGATATTTGAAAATTGTGCTATGGTCACACAGACACAGCTATAGAGTCAACTGACTGTGTTCTTGTTTGGAGAGAAGGATTGCAGCTGCTGAATATACTAATTTAGGTTAACTACAGCCCACTCCTTTTCTCTGATTTTCAAATTTCATTTAATTTCAACCCTATTTCAGTTATATCCACACCCATCACCTCTGTAATAATACTGAACTTAAAAGTTACAACTTAGTAATTGTAACAAGTAAAAAAAAGAAAAGAAAGAGAGAGAGAGAGAGAGAGAGAGAGAGAGAGAGAGAGAGAGAGGCAGCCGTTCTAAAACCAAGTGAGCCTGAGTCACTTCCTACCATTCAGCCGTGCTGACAACGTGGCAGAACACACACACATACACACACACACACATCTCTCTCTACTGCTTTTCATTTATGTGTACAAGCAAATCACACAGACATATTTAACCAAGTTCATGTAAAATCATGTGTGCTGTAGTCTGACATGAACATCTATGTGACTGCAGTGCATGTTAGTGTATCAGCAGAATTACATTAGCAGCCCAACGATAAGATGCTGCAGTTCGAGAGAGACACAGAGGAAGGAAATAACAAATAATAACAGAAACACAACACTTTATAAAATGGGAGAATATAAGATGGCGAGGGAGGAGTGGAGAAAAAAGACCAGTGTGGATTTGTGAGAGACTGAGTGAGAGAAAGTGTGCGCAAGAGAGAAGAACTGCTGTAGTCAGGAGAATTCCAGTCTAACATCTGCTTCTCATTCCAACAATGGACGCCTTTGATTCTGGACACACCACACTTGCACACAGACACACACGTTATATCTTCCAAGAGAACACGCTCGCCTGGATCGACATACAAAATCAAAACATCACCAGTTGTCACTGATCCTGGAGGCACTGCATCACACTGCGTACACAGATGTCAAACGCTCTTCAGCAAATCTCAAGAAAATGTTTACCGAATGCAACGATTGTGTACATTTTTAACAGCCAAATTTGATCGCTTCGTCTGCATATGCATGATGATGGATGTGGTCAGAAGCTGAGATAGCCACTCTAACATATTTTAATAACTATGATTCACATTCAGTTTCCAATGGCATAAATCTAGGTTTAAACCTGTGCAGTGGCCAACAAGACCCAATGCACTGCACAATAAAATACGAGCTGCAAACTAAGAAAACACTTTCATCAGAATAACAACATATGTGCTGCAATACAGGAGCAAACAAATGCTTCTCAAATAAAGAAAACATCAGAGAGGCTGCAAGTCAGTCACAACACAACGGAAATGTTTCCAGAATACACTCAAAGGGGATGGAGCCATTATATGTAACACATGTATAAACGTTCAAAAGTAAATGTAACGTAACTTTTATTTGAGAAGATAACTAATATCACTGTATCGCAATGGGAATGAGCTGTAGAGCCTACCTGTAAAATCAGCATAACTATGACATGTCAGCCAGCTAACGAGCCAGGCAAGTTTAATTAATGCAACACATTTTTGTGCTTTTGGTCTTGCTGGCCGACGTATCATGTATGTATTTACAGCAGTGTCTCCTTCCAGTGATTTTTGATGAAACACACTACACTGAAAAAAAGATGCTTTGAATGATTCAAATGTGTCTAATGGTTGCAAATGAAGAAAATGTATTACATGAACACAGTTACTATTAAAACAAGTAAACTTAAAAGAAAGCAGTTGTGTTGATATAGGTGCAACCATTTGACACAATTACATCATAAATCATTTTTTAGTGCATTCAAACAGTAGAGCTGCACAATTATTCATAAAATAAATAATTCATATGTTAAAATATAATTATCACAATATTTTCTTTTGTAATTAGCTAATCATGAAAAGTGGTGATTAATGAGACCCAACTTGTAGTATTTCTGAAAGACTGAACTCAAGAAATGCTATTTTAGTAAACAAGCGCTCTAAAACACCACGGTAATTTCCGGATGCACTTTGAGCGGCTGACCATCTCTGATATTTCTGCTGAGTTTTCTGTAAGCAAATTACAGGTGTTTCCTGCATCGACATCTCTGTTTATAGAATGTACTTGTCACTGTTTCTGTCTAAAACCAGCTTGATCAACTATCAAAGAGTCATTGTCCTGATCCTGTGTATCTACTCTTAAAAAACAATTAAACAGGCCTTATTATTCTTCTTTTAATGAAACCTGCAGTTGGTCAGTGGTTCAATATCCACAATATATACTGTGATATAATGTGACATAATTTATCACGATAAAGATAAATACCGTCATTTTGCCCCCTACTTCTTCTGAGTGTCCAATAATGAAGCCATTTTGCCCAAACAAAATTACAGTTTACATGCATGAGCTTTATAATCAGCTAGCTAACACACAAGTCGTCGATTGCAAAGTACATTTACATGCTGACGACATCAATCTGTACTGCCCAGCTAACTATATTGGTGCCGCAGTGGATAAACTACAGTATTCTTTTAATGCCTTACAATTGTTTTTTTACAATCATAAACTAGTCTTAAATGTTGAGAAAACTAAATTTATGCTGGTTTTTATGTTTGAGAGCCTCCAACATTGATTTTAACACTTTTAAAACCACAATCCTGAAGGGATCTAACATTGAAAGAGTTAGTGAATAAAAATGCCTTGGCATATGATAAGGTGACAAATGCATTTTAAATACTACATTAATGAGCTTACATGTAAACTGAGGTAAAACTTGGCTTCCTTTATCACTACAAAATGTGTTTCCCAACGCACACAAGCAAAAAGACTGTTAAAACAAAGCTATTGTCTATTCTGGATTGTGGTGATGTGATATGTAGAAATGCATCTGCAACTACCGTCAAATCTTTAGACTCTGCTTTAAGATGACTGGTTATCCATACAATACCCATTCTACTCTTTTATTTATTTTATTAACTGTTTTTATTATTTTATCCCTATATGATCTGTTACTTATTACATTTTTTTTATTTTTGCACTTTTAATGGTTTATTTTGATTAGATTAATTTGATTAATTTGTTCATTTTTATTTAATTTTTTAGCATTTGATGTGTTTTCACAACGAAATTTTTTCAATCCCTGATTTCTGTATCGGCTCAGCTACACTTTTAAAGAGTTTAAATAAAGGTTGATTGATTGATTGATTGATTGATTGATTGATTGATTGAAGTAATCTATGGGCCTAAGGGTCACTTTGATTTCTTTCCACCCTACAATTAGCCTCATTAACCCCTCGCTTTCCTAGTTATACCTGCTTTGCCTCTGCCCGACACCCTTGAGATGTGCTCTCCGCTCATCTCACTCCCAGACTCCTGTTTCTGTATGATCTGTCTGACATGCTAACTAAACAATCACAGAGCGTTGTTTTAGCATGATTTATCAATGCAGGTGATGCAAAAAATGGCAAAAACAAAAACAGACCTGCATGACACTAACTTACCAATTCAAATGAATGACTTTTGAAGAAGGGATGCCATGACATTTTTTTCCAACCAGCGACTACATCTTGTTCCAGGGCACACATTGTTGTCAAAGTGTGCATAGCAAGCAAACTGCTACTGGTCATTAGCTAACTGAAGCTTGATAAACAAAAGTTAGTCTCTCATCAGACTTATAAAACCTGGTGGTGCATACAGACAGCAATGTGGATAATCAATAAGAGTGTAATGGACCAAACTCTGACAGAACTTTTTAACATAAGGTAATGGAAAGAGATATGATTCCAAGTAATTCTGGAGCATTTTCTATTGGTCCATCATGAAATTCTCACACACTATAAAGAACCACCGTTGTGTTAAAAAGAAATGAAACAAGAAAAAGAAAAAGAAAAAAAATGGAGATTTATTTTGGACAGCAACGATATGACTGTGAAAGCCAACAACAGTGGAAAATAACTGCAGTCAGCTAAAATAATTGCGATCAGGTGATTGTGTAATAACTGTGACAGGCCTAGATTACTGGCACCCAACCTACAACCTTTTCACAGGACAGCTCTGCAGTGTTGCCTGAAGTGGTAACAGGAACGTATTACAGAATATAATTTTAGCAGAGCTGCTTTCACCTTCTGCCTAGCAAGGATG